CTAGTGGTCCAGATGGAATTTCTCCGCGTGTACTCAAGCGTTGTGCAGGGCCAATTTCTATGTATCTTTATACAATTTTTGAAAGATCTTTAGCGACAGGCATCTTACCACATGACTGGAAAATCGCGCACGTGGTACCGATACATAAAGGTGGGTCCAAAAAAGACGTTGGTAATTATAGACCAATATCGCTTACGTCTATCCCGTGTAAAATCCTCGAACATATTTTATACAAAGAAATATTAACTCATTTAAACAAGCATAAGGTACTAATCAACGAGCAGCATGGATTTCGCAGAGGGCTGTCTTGCACAACACAATTAGTCGAATTTTATCATGACGTAATATCGGGCGTAGATACTGTGGGACAGGTTTATTTATTTATTTATTTATTAGAATACCCTCAGGGCCCGTAGGGCATTACAGAGGGGGTGGGTACAACATATATAACACACAAGAAAAAAAGACAAAATAAAGAAACAAGTATCAGATGCGCAAATCAGGAAGGCAACATAAGTCAACTAAAAATGTATAAGAATTCAAGCACATACAAGACAAAGATAGATAATGGAAACTGCGTATAGTTACAAGCATTGCTGAGAAATTGCAGTCTTGAATAACAAAGGGTCTGTTATTGATACAACGGAAGAGGGAAGGTGGTTCCAATCGGCGGCTGTTTTCGGTAAGAAGGCTGCTGAAAAGAATTTGGTGCGGCAAAACGGAAGGGCAACCTTATGCTGATGATCAATGCGCGATGAGTGGTATGACGGTTGTGAAATGAGGTCTCGCTTCATTGATGGATTGTGAAAAAATATCTTATGAAAAAAATGCAGTCGCGCCAGTTTCCTCCGGACAGTTAAATTGGGTAGGTCAAGGTTAGATTTCATTTCTGATATGCTAGCAGTACGAGGATAATTAGAACAAATGAACCGAACTGAGCGGTTCTGAACAGATTCTAACGCGTTAATTAAATTTTGCTGCACGGGATCCCATATAGCGGACGCGTACTCAAGCTTTGGGCGAATTAGTGATCGGTATAATAGAATTTTGAGGGACAGCGGAGCGCGAGAAAAGTTGCGGCGTAAGTATCCTAGCGTTCGGTTAGCGTTATTACAGATGTAGGTAACATGCGTGTGCCAAGATAGATTGTTGGTAATGTAAACGCCGAGGTACTTATATGAAGAGACATGCTGGAGGGGAACGGCGTTAATTCTGTAGGTACAGGGGGGAGAAATAGATCGCCGGGTTATTGACATGCATTTAGATTTGTTAGAGTTGAGAGTCATAAGCCATTTATTGCACCAGGTTGAGACAGTGTCAAGGTCTGACTGTAGAAATTGGTTATCATATTCATTGTTTATTTCGCGGTAAATTACACAATCATCTGCAAATAACCTTGACGGTGTGTTCTTGGATTTTCGGAAAGCGTTTGACACGGTGTCACATTCACTCTTACTGTTTAAACTTACCACCCTGAACATTGATAAGACTGTCTTTAAATGGATCGAATGTTACCTTTCCCAAAGAACACAAACCGTAGTACTGAATGGAAAATGCTCCGAGTACACCGATGTTACCTCAGGGGTCCCACAGGGCTCCGTCCTGGGTCCGCTATTGTTTTTAATTTATGTTAATGATATCTCTGCAGGAATTTCATCTTCTATACGGTTGTTTGCGGATGACTGTGTTGTGTACAGAAAAATTTTTGATCACAATGATGTATTAGAACTTCAGAAAGACTTATCGCTCATTTATAGCTGGTGTACCAAATGGAAAATGAATTTGAATATAACAAAGTGTGTACATATTTCATTTACCAAAAAGATGAAACCATGTCAGTCACAGTACCATCTGAACAATGTACAGTTGAAACAAGAGAGTACATATAAGTACCTAGGTATAATACTATCATCTGAATGTTCATGGAGGCCTCAGGTTGACACTCTCATAGCCAAAGCTGGTAAGGCTTTAAATTTCATTCAAAGAAACCTGCGATGTTCGCATGTGAATTTAAAACGTATGGCATACACTACTTGTATCAGGCCTATCTTAGAATACGGTTGTGTCGTGTGGGACCCCGCCGAGGTAACCTTCATTGCTGCTCTGGAACAAATACAAAATCGTGCTGCCAGGTTCGTCTTGGGACGGTACGGAAGGGGGGAGAGCTGCACTGCAATGAAGGCTGAGCTAGGATGGGAGTGTCTTTCTGACCGCCGCCAGAAGCAGAGATTAAAATTTCTTTACTGCATTTACTACAATAAAACTGGAATTAATAGAGAAATATACCTACACAACCCTCATTACACTTCAAAACGTTTTGATCATAGTTGCAAAATTCGGGAATACCCAGCTAAAACGAACATGTATGCCAATTCATTTTTTCCTAGAACGATTAAACAGTGGAACAGGCTAACTGAAATGCAAGTACATAGTGGGAACGAAGATATATTTTATTCACTGCTGTAAACCCATGCTGTAACCTAACGAAGATATATTATGTGTGAACAAAATTCTGCTATGTGTGTGAACGAAAATGTATTTCAGTTATTTATGTATGAACAAAGTTGTATTGTGTCGGTGAACAGAGATGTACGTCATTTATTGATGTAACCCCCCTGCTATAACGCCTTCGGGTGCTGCGGGGTATCTGATGAATAAAGAATAAAAAAAGAATACCTATCAAAAGGGGAAAGACGACATAAGCAAGTGTACACTTTAAAGGAAGTGCACATCGCTGTTTGAAGAGAGGTCGGTCTGCCTTAGTTCGCTTAGTTTTAAAGCAAGAGCCAGTAAAGAAGAAAAAAGACAGATGTGTAGGCAAGGTAAGGAGACGACAGTGCATGTTTTGATTGTGATGACATTGACCAGGGCATACGTTAGGCCACTAGCCTACATGAACCCTTAGGTTTTAGGGAAAAACATTGAAAAGGTAAACAGGTCTGTGATAGAAATAAGTAATTGACTGGTGTGTTGGTGGCAGAAAAGTATGCAGATAGCAAGAAAAACAAGCAGGAAAACTGAAGTTCACTTGTGGTAAGGTGCAGAAGGTGGAGCTGTGAATTTATAGCTTTATTATTAGAAGAGAAGCTCAATTCAGTTGGGCAAGGTGAAGTCATAAATTAATAATAATGTAATATTGATCTTGGAGCACAGGCCCATTATCAAGGTGACGTGCGTTAATTTATCTATCCACTACCACCGAGAAAAACCTGAAGATGACTCTGAGACGAAAGCCACGTTCGTTTTTGTCTTCTCCGTTAATCGTACTGATTTCCACGCGCTCGAACAATTAGGGTATTATTTTATCACGCTTGCACTATGCTGTTGTCATGCGAATTAAGACAGTTCCAGTTTTATTCAAAGAAAGAATGTCCCACTTAGGGTTGTAGCATCGATCATCTACGTCTTTTGCTGATCGTTGATGTGTAAAAAGTGGAAATTGTCCTATGCCTGATCATAAAAAACGTAGTACCACCCTACTACTACCTCACAGTGCCCGAGAAATCTCGAGAGTGCCCTAAAAGGGGCATAATTACTTTACAGTTGGCAACCTTGTTACAAAGCAAGGCTTTTTGCACATGTTAGTCGAACCACGGCGAGGAAATGCAGTGCGAGTCGTCCACGAGTTAAACAAATGTGTGACAACTGCGTCACCAAAGCTGCATTGCCGAAACGGTCAAGGTGCAGTTGTGTTGTGCAAAGGACCAGTGGGTGGGGTGAGTGCTACTTGAAGTGGCCCATTATGGGAGGAGAGAATTTTGTGGCCCTCCATGCTGTACAATTAGCAAATTGTGATTGCTGCAACCTCCTGACCAAATGTGCGAGCTTGTTTAGGAGCAAGGTAACTGTTTGGTTGCTTGCTGCTTATTGGCACTGAAAGGAATGCTCCGCCTCTTTTTGTCTATTCTTATCTTGTAAGTACAGCATCAGCACATCATAAATACTGCCAACTGCATTTAACTGCTATTTAATATTAGTTTTTCATGTCTTGTTTCTCACAACTGTACTTATTTGAAGGGTGGGTAACGTGTGAGCCAATTGGAAAAAATGGCGGCATTTGTAAAATACAACACCTGCAGTTAATGTCAACAAAAGACAATGCTAGTTTATCATTTGTTGCCTATGGGGCAAGCAAAGCACACGCTGTCCAGTCAAGTTATTTTATTTGGCTAAATGCGGACTATACTCTCTCATGTACTTTATAAAAATCTCAGAACCTTACCTTGCGTTTGTTGACACTGTCTGTGGATGTTGGTGCCAAATGCATCTTCGAATTGCATACCCTGCTCCTAGACATCATCTAGTAAACAGTGTTGTATATTTTAATTTAATGAATGTTGCCCAGCCAGAGTAGTTGCCCAGCCAGAGATATTTTTCAGGAGGTGTTATCCCCTGTTGATGTGTAAATTGAATCATGGGCAAAATATAAAAAGTCCAAAAATAGAGGGAAAGGTTATATGCGGTGTTCAGACAATTTCAGGACAAATTCTGACACCAATACAGTGCCCTGGCTATAGCCCTGTTCTAGGGCATGTTTGTAGTGGGAAAAAAATGTTTAGGTAACACTCCATTGGTGCAACCGTGGCATGCGGAAACACTGGACAGGTGGAAATTGTACAGAGGCTGTCACAGCTAAATACAGCAGCAGCTTATGGTTGAACTAGACAGTAATATGTTGCACCTTGCCAAATTCACTTGGTCTGTGAAGTGCTGGTACAGTGTAGGCAGAAAGATGGGTGTGTGTATCTCATAGGTGTTCTGTGTTTTTGCACTGTTAAGATCTGTCCCACATATGCACAGGCTAAAAAGCAATCTTTTTATCAAAGCTAAAATGCAAGGCCTTCATGCTCGTTGCGGTGATTGCTACAGTGTACCTGAGCGTTTGCGTACCGGGTGCTAGAAGGTCAACTGGTTTCCTCCTTCATTTACAAGATGTCATCGCATTGCATTGAGGTGCCTCTTTCTGGCCAGTCTCATTCTTTTCCTAATGTTTGTTTCAGAAGTCCTGCTGGGGACATGATACTTCTGCTGTCTGGCTATCGGCATCACTCCTGGCTGTGCTTGTGCAGGTGCTGCCCGATGGATCGGGCATTGATTCAGGGCATCAAGCGTCTGCGAGTGCTGACCCCATACGACTATGAAAACATGGATGAACTCGTCCAGGACCTGACTAGTGCCCTTGAGGAGTCCTCCTCCTCTGCTCAGCATTGCCACCCATCGCAGCGCAAGTGGTGCTCCAAGAAGGCTCTTTTGCCCCTCGACCCTGCACGTCTGCCAGGGAGTGTCTCATCTTCTACCACGTGCCAGACCACCCGCTCTGCCATTTCTGGAGATGACTCTGAATCCAGCCTGGAAGGGCGTGCCTTGTCTGGAATGGTGAGACCTTTCTTTGACATAATAAGCAGTTACCAAATGCCTGGGTTGAGTCCGCTTAGCTAAACAGCAGCTTGCAGGGGTGCAACAGCTTAAACAGTTACCAAATGCCTGGGTTGAGTCTGCTTAGCTAAACAGCAGCTTGCAGGGGTGCAACAGCTTGCATCAATTTGATACAGTTTCTTATTGTTGCGCAGAGCTGCGCTAAAACCATGAAATTTGCTGAAATTGAGCCGCACTGCGCCGAAAATCCTCACCGGCCTCAAAATTTTCTCAGTTGCACTATTGTCAATGAGAAAGGGAGACCAAATGGGCCACTTGCATTTCGCGTCACCTATCAAACCAAGTGTGCAGACCGTATACCTCTAAACCATGTTGTAAGCTATATACTTGTAAGGTGAGGACACTCGTGAGACGTGATCGACCAGATAAAGTATGAGATAAAGAAACAACACCATGCGCTCATCGATCTGCTGACCACAACAGATACTGTCGGCTGGACGACAGAACTTTACACCAAAGGAAAATGCGTTGCCGTAGCCATTAACGCTTCACGGTAAATATGAATTTGTGATCCAGGACCAGCTACAAGTGATCAGGCAAGCCAAAGATGCTGCTAGGGCCTAAAGACATTTAGCTCTCATCTAGGGGAGAGGATATAATCCCTCTGAACTGAAACTTGCCGTTTCGAATAAAGTTGTTTCTCTCTCCGTGTCGTGAAACGCGGTTACGGCGTGTTAAGAACGTATGCTGGGTTTTCCTTGCATGAACAAGGTTGACGTGCTGCTAACTCCATTGTTGCCAGCCACCACGTTGGTTGCCATAGCAATGACACATTAACCATTTTTCTGTCTTAAAGCCGTGTCGACCCGGTGATAGATAGGTGCCTGGCGCGACTGCTGGGCCAACGGGCGCAGCCGTTCTTACTTTATCTCGTTGAACACGCTTTGCAAGCAAACCGGAAAGTTCCACCTTAAACCTAACCACACCGGGAGAGGAAAAAAGAGAGTAGTGGCTGGTACGGTGGTTCGTAATTGCTTGGCTGCCCAATGCGCGCAGACCGCTGCCTAAGCCACTTTTGCCGCAGTACACAGGGATACTAAAGAAAAGTATAGTATGAATTGGGATGGGCTGTTACCATTAGTCACGGTACACAGCACATTGTGTTCAATTCATGCGTGTACGCACTGCGTAGTTTCGAGTACTAGTATGATCGCTGACATCTAAAAAACTTACTCGCAGTCATCTGGAGCAGCGAATGACATTTATGCAGCCCTAAAGAAAAAAATCACAGCATATCCACGGAGTGAATGATGATGAGTGGGGCAAAGTGCTGGAGGGTTTCAACATTAAACCGTGAACCATGCACGAATATCACTCACTACATCATCAAACACGTGACAAAGACTGTATATATTTGTACAAGAAACCTTATTATTGGTAAGAGGTAGCTATATGTCGCTTCCATTCTCCCTTCATTATAGCGGCATTATTATGGTCGGTGAAGTGGTGGATCAGTGATGGGGCGTAATGGGATGTTTGCAAGGACAAAGTAATGGGCACTTTGCATAAGTGGAACTATAGGCAGTCACGTATAAACAAGGGATGGACAAAGTGGGATAATCTAGGGTTTTTCAATGTGCACCTGGATACAAGTATAGAACCATCTTGCATTTCATATTGGCTACTTTTCAACAGTATTTGCTTTATGGGTGCTAAGTGGTGCATTGGTGATGGGGCGTAGTGGGATGTTTGCAGGGACGAAGTAGTGGGTAGTTTGCAAAGGTAGCTGTCATGTACAAACGAGGGATGGACACAGGGGGACAATCTAGGGTTCTTTAACGTGCACCTGGATACAAGTACATGACCATCTTGCATTTCATATTGGCTACTTCTCAACAGTATTTGCTTTATGGTTGCTAAAGTGGTGGATTGGTGATGGGGCATAGTGGGATATTTGGAAGGACCAAGTAGTAAGCAGTTTGCAAAAGTGGAACTATAAGCGGTCACATACAAACAAGGCGTAGACACAGTGGGACAATCTAGGGTTCTTTAACGGGCACCTGGATACAAGTACACGACCATCTTGCATTTCATATTGGCTACTTCTCAACAGTATTTGCTTTATGGTCACGTGGTATTTTTTGTATTTCGCAGGCATTTGTAGTTAGCAGAAAAGCACTCATAATTAACTGATATAAAGTTCGAAGCTGTCTAATCGGACATACTGCAGACTGATCTACAACTTCCACATTGAAATTTCTTATCTTTGTTTCTTCAAAAGGTAGTTAATTAAACAGATCTAATTGAACAATACTTGCAAATACAAAAAATAGTCAAACCCCAGGCAACGGTCAGGAACATGCATTTGGTCACATCCCAATTGCGTCATTCGGCATATTTTTATGGCTAAAGATAGCTGGGACACCCTGTATATAATGCACAGTGATAGTTTACTGGGCTTAGCGGAATAGCGGGGTTACGGAATAGCGAGATCGAAGTGTGTATGCTCAGTAACATACGTGACCTGTACGGTTCAATGTATGCACACTATTTTCATCGTGTTAGTGTGGTGTTCGTAGTGTACCTAAAACATGGCAGTGCTTTCAGGCGCCTGCTTCGAACTGATTTTAGCGTACTTGTTGAACGATTAACTTCGTTCGCAGCAAACGACAGTTTAGAATGGCTTCGCTTGTCTTCAGTAAGCTTAGATTACCAAGTATTTTGGATAAATAAGCATAGTGTTGAGATAGCTTCTCATTTCGAACTTCTCTAGGCCGAATTTGAAGATTGTTGCAAAGAAATTGGCAACATGAATGTTTTTGCATTTTGTTTATTTATTTATTTATTTATTTATTTATTTATTTTTTCAATTATACTCCTAACCCTCACAGAAAGGGCACAATGGATAACTCCAAGCACAAACATATAACAATGGCCAACTAACAAGCAAAATTATAGTTGACATAATACCTGTATAAAAATACCAAAAAATTATTTAATCATTTGTTTCCGCAGCTTCCTCTGGTAAACTATTCCACAAGTTAACGGCATCAGAAAAAAAAAAAGAAAACCAATACAAATCTGTGCGGGTTCGTATTGGTTGCACAGTGAGATGATGAGCTGTTCGCAGAAGTTGTTTGTCAACCTGTTTCATATATATATATATCCTTAGTAATTTTTACTTTTCCATGAAATATCTGAAAAAATACTTTCAAACGACATTTCTGTCTTTTTACTTTCCCAAGAGTTCTAACTTGCACTCCTTCAACATGTTCGTTACTGAGTCTGTTTGCCTGTACTTTGAACAAATAAAGCATACAGAAATTCTCTTAATACGCACCAATTTTTTTCTTGGGAACTTTCTAATACGCACCAATTTTTTTCTTGGGAACTTTCTGATGCGGGCTCCAAACTGCACTAGCATATTCTAAAATAGGACATATATAGATTTTATATGCCAATAGTTTAACCCCTCTCGTCGCTTTCAGTATTTTTTTTTCCTCAAAAAACATCATTTTTGAAATGCCGACGAACAGTTGTCTAGGTGTTGAGTCCAGCCTAAATGGTCTGTAATTATTACACCCAAGTATCTAAAGCTAGTCGCCCTATTGAGAAGTAGGTCCTCAATCTCATTATCAAACAAAAGTGGAATTTTCTTTTTTGTAATGTGTGTATAATTGGACTTCTTATAATTAATATTCATCTCTCATTTTCTGCACCACTCACCCAGCGATTGAAGACAGCGGTCGATTTTAACTTGGTGGTCTGTACATGTAACTTGGCAATAAATGAGATAGTCGTCAGCAAAAAGATTAATTTTTACCAGTGATTCAATAACTGGAGCTATGTCATTTACATGTATCAGGAACAAGAGAAGCCCTAGCATGGATCCTTGTGGCACTCCTGAATAAACTTCTAAATTGTTCGATACATCATTTTTGATGTTCACAGCTTATTGACGTTGTGATAAGTATCCACGAATCCATTAAAGCAACTGCGTACCGATTCCTACGCTATGAAGTTTATAAAGAAGGTCATTGTAAGATACTTTATCGAACGCCTTTGCGAAATCTATACATATGACATCAATTTGTTGACATGCATCCAGACAAGTAGTGAAGTCGTGAATTGTTTCAACAAGTTGCATAACAGTAGAAAGACCAGATCTGAACTTATGCTGGAAGGGCATAATATATTATTGTCCTCTAGAAACTCCCTTACATGCTTCCATATTATGTGCTCTATCACTTTACAGCACACAGATGTCAGATACAGGTCTATAGTTGTTGACTAACAATCGGTTACCACTTTTAAATATTGGAACTACTATGGCACTATGCCAGTCTTGGGGTAACGAGTAACATTTTAAAGACTTTTAAAACAGTAAAGTGAGGTAATAGGACAACCTTCTGCATACCGTCGCAAAAAAGTAGTCTGTATACCGTCAGGTCCGATAGTTTTTTTTGAGTCTAACAGTAATAGCATGTTAAATATTCCTTCACGGTTTATGCAGATTTCATTCTCTGTGCGTGCCAGCGGAGAAGGTAACAGACACTCTTGGGTATCGTCTTCGGTTTTTATGAACACTGACTGGAAATAGTGATTGAACCTGTTCACAATTTCACCCTCCTCTTGTATGATTTCTGTTCCATCTAATATCTGCTCAATTCTCTCACCCTTATTCTGGAAAAAAATCTAAAATTTTTGCAGAAAATTTTGCAGAAAGTTGGTGAGCGTTTTATTGAATAAAGTTTCTTTAGCTTGTCTTGGCTATGTTTTTGGGTTTCTTTTAATTATCGAAATTTCAGTGGCCACTGCCTTTCTTTTTCGCTGTCTTTTTATCTTGTGTTTCACATGAATGATGCTTTTGTTTATCCATGGGCTTTGTTGTTTTGTTCCTTTTTCCGCGTGGGTATAAATTTTTTGATACAGTGCTGTACTATTTCTTTATAACCTTTCCAAAAAGTTAGGACTGATTCCTTCTCTGACGCGATCTGAAA